TGGCAGGGGGGTCCCCAGGAGCCCCAATCCTTCATGGGGTGGGGTGAGAGTTTAAGCCCTTGAGCTGTCAGCCATGTCCTCCAGCCCTGCGGCAGGGTCACACTCCAGCCTTCCCCCTCCTTGCAGAAAACACACCAAATTTCTTGATCCCAGCCTCTTCTCCACCTCCCAGCTGGAAGCCCAAGAGTTAAAAACCTCTGAGCGTCGCTGCCCGAGGGCTCTTCAGTGGCCACCAAGTTTGCGTTCGTGTGAGAAGGAAAAATCTCTTATGATAGGGATATTTGATATATATTTTGAGTCAGTCAAGGCTGAGCCAGCCGTCACCTCCACTAACGTCAGGCTGGGGCACGAGCCAGTGCCTGCTGCCCCGAGGTCTTCGCACAGAGGACACCCCAGGCTGGTCTCCCTGGGGACTTGGAGGGGTGACTGCCTGCCTCTGGGGAAGAAAGAGGGGCCCCCCACCGTGGTCCCCTCCCCATCCCGCCAGCTCACGGGGATGATGTTGGCTCCCTGCTTTCAGGCTTGTCGCTTTTGGAGGACTTTGGCTTCAGCAAGATGAACCTGTTGATGAGGTCGGTGTCCGAGCTGGCCTGGGCACCTGCATACGACTCCCCTGGGGACAAGGCAGAGGGGAGGCTTGTGGAGGGGGGGGACAATCCAGGGATTGGAGAGGCGGCAGCTCCTTGGTGGAGGCCGGGGACACTCACCGGCATAGCTGGAGGACTCGGCCATGTTCTGGGAGCCAGTGATGTGGTGCCAGTAGGCACTTCGGGGCAGCATGGTGGTGGGGGTGCAGGGGTAGGAGAAGTGCTCGGTGCCCTTGTTCAGCAGCTGCGGTGGATGAGAGGGGGTGAGGGTGACATAAGGTGCCCTGAGACACCCTCCCCCCCACCCCCAGCTGTTTCTCCATTGTGGGCAGGACTCACCCTGATGTTCTTCTCCATCTCCAGCAGGACCTTCTTGTGCTGCTCTGCGATGGCCAACGTGGCACTGTGCACACGCTGGTAGATCTGCTCGCCCTCCTGCGTCTGGAAGGTGTAGAGACCTTCTCCCGCATCACACATCCTGCAGGGACGGGGAGCAGGGTGTCACCGGGCTCCCCAAGCTGAAGGATGATTTTAAATACCCCCCAGGTGGCGGCTGGCTCAGCTTCCCAGGCTTTAAGTGCTGTCCCCCTGTCCACTCTGTGGGGCTGCGCT